TTCAACCACACCAAAGTTTAGCTAAATGTTGGAAAAATGACAGAACTTGAGTCATTTCTGTCTCTTCTAAGTTCAGTTAGCTGTAGCAGCTTCATACCATACCATACCATACCATACCATACCACTTTATTTCTAAAGCACTTAAAAAACAATATAGCAGCTGACCGACCTGCTGTACAAATGTATAAAATAAAACATTAAAAATAAAACGACAATACAAAGATCACAGATACCAAAAAAAAAAAAAAAAAAAAAAAAAAAAAAAAAAAAAAAAAAAAAAAAGAGTACAAAATTAAGACACAGATGCTAAATCACTCTAGGTTAAAAGCCAAAGAGAAGAAATGTGTTTTTAAGTGAGTTTTTTAAAAAAGAGTCAATTCTTAATTTTTTTTTTTTTGCTTCCACATGTAAGCAGTTAAAGCTATACATTCATTGATTATTACATGAAAGTTTCCATTCACATCCATTCAATGGTTCATGAAATATTTTGCTGACAGTGTTGGCTACCAGTAGTTAATGGCAACATTTAAAATAGAGATCTTGTTCATTCTGTTTGTGTTCAGTCTCATGAACCAACACACCAAGTTTTAGATTAATTTCTGTACTGGTGTTTGAATGAAATCCATTTTTTTTTATTTTCTAAATAGAGTTGGATGTGATGGCCATCTTGAATTGTGTTGACTCTAATGTGCAGCTTTCTTTCTGCAAGTTTCATTTAAGTTCAGCCAGTGGTTTATAAGCTATTTTGCCAAAAGACAACTACCGTAAACACATGCACAAAACATTATCACTCGCAATTTGCCTTTCAGGTGTGGGTAATAAACAAAAAGCCAGGTAAGTACACCTGTATGCAACTCCAGTTGTTTCCTTTCTTGATTATCATATAATCCTTCTTGTTTTTGTTGATGTGCAGTTCATTATTATCATCATTTTTAACATTATTACTGCACCTTTTTAATCTACTTCTTTTAGACTGCACAGCTAGTTTCCACTGACTGAGCAGTACTGCCATAAAAGATCTCTCTGTGCTCAAAGTCTCAACTTCCTCCTGCTGTTGCGCAGCAACTAGCCCGAACTATTCCTCTTCATTTAATTACCTCGTTATTCTTTACATTTTCCTCACACAATTCAAACATCAGTATAACTTAAACTAACTTCATGTGTTCATTTAATAATAAATATAAAAAAGAATAATTTTTAATGACTTGTAGTTTGATAAAATGTGGCAGAAACTTTGAAGAAATTACTTATCAGGCAGTAGGAATTCCCAACCTTTGCATTTAGTGCACCAAGCTCTGTGTCTCTGACTGAGGTGGGGGACATAGAAATGCTCTCCCTCCGTCCGTCTGTTCACCTTATGAGATGATTTAAATAATGAAGGCCTGTGATGCTTCCAACAAAACTGCTAACAGCTTGTCACTACTGAACATCCAAGCCCTAGTGACATTTGCAAGGTCATGTGATCCAAGATGGCTGCCACTGTAGATGAGCTTTAGAATGTACTGCGGGAAACCCTGAAGGTATATCTTGAAACTGGTATCCAGCCTATTTCTAATTTAAATTTGTATCAAAAGTACAGCCTTCAAGGTATACACCAGTTTTTAAATTGTATTGATAGTCCGAAGTAAAACCGAAGTTGTTGTTATTAAGTACCAAAAAGTCTATAGAGAAAAAAAATAGAAATACGCAAAGGTTGTATGAGGTTCAGCAGCCATGGAGAGACGGCAAGAGTGGGAGTGAGTTATGATATTTAAGAGATTTATTAGATTTACTGTGTAGTTGGGAAATATTTTAGTTCAGTCAGTTTTAGTGTCTTGAGTCAAAATGATGACATGATATTTGAACATACTGGTTTTTACCACAGTTTAAGAACCATATTACATCAACCGTTAGACCTTTGCCTGCTGACTTTACTCCACCCTTTTATTACATAATCAAGCATCCATGAGCACAAGTATGCTGGTATAGATGCGTCCCTAGTTTCTGTCATACGCATTTGCTATCTGTCCATGTTCATGTTGAATGTAGTCAAAATACATAGRAGCTATAGCAGAGAGGAAGCAAACATGTGAAACACAGATGATTTCTATTAGTGTTTTAACTGCCTGATGTTGAGGGTTAAGACTAAAGCTGTAGCTTAGTGAGGAATCGTGGATCAAATCATTAAAGGGAGTTCTGTGCTCCTTTTAGCTGTAGTGTTTTATTTAGTTGTCCTTCTGTACGGTTTATATGCCTCTTTTACCACCAGCAACAATTTCTCAAACTTCACTTAAAAAAACCACTTTACACGGATTTAAGTCTTAAGTAAAGGATTAATTGATCCCAGTAGAAAAAGCTGCTTCTACAGGAGAAACTGTTCCTCGGGCCTTGAGGGGCTGTGGGATTTAGTTTTTTTTTACTGTAAATGTTTGATTGGTTTGGTTTGCTGTTGTCAGGGTACATGCTGTCATCTGTTGGCAGAAGGCCTGGGAGGATGAAAGTTTTTTGAGATCTGTCTTGTCTTTAAGCATTTTCACAATTAGTGTGAGATTAAACAAAACAAAAAACAGGGAGATCATATCCCACATCTGAGTGAAACAGTGTGTGACTTCCTGTTGGAACCGTCTGTGGCCAAGATAAATATTATTGCGATATGAAGCACATCTGACAGAGAGAACAGTTGCTACTGGAGTGTGTTGCAGAAACTGTGTGCTTAAATCACTGCAGTCATTCTCTACATTATTAACCGGAGTAAAATTAGAGTATTAAGGGATGAAACAGTCAGAAAATGACTCGGATGCAGAGGAAAATGATGCATTTATGGAAAGATTGTTCCTACCACTGAAGGTGAAAAGGGTGATGATGTTTTTGCTTTTGTGTGTGTTTATCATATTAGCAATCACACACATGCTCACAAACATGAGCAAAAACTACATCACTAGCAAAATTTGCTGTCGCAGTAGCTGAGGATCATTCAGAGCACACACTTAAAGCATATCTTTGCATTAACAGTCAACACTGTTGGCAAAATATTTCATAAACCACAGGATGGATTATACTGAAACTATTCATATGGTCACTGCAGATAAATARCCCTAGCCAAGACAAAAGTCTTATATAAGTCAGGTTTATAAAGTTTGATGTGGTGGTAGCTCAAAGTCACCCTCAACACATAGTTAACAAATCTATAGGATGAGATTGTGCATCATGTAATGATTTGACCAAAACTGCAGMAAGTCTGTCCTTTCTCATTATGGTGATCATAATAGTTATGACGGAAGGTGGATGAAATATATTCCTTCAAAGAATGCTGGGCTTTTAGCTTGTTTGGAATGGTTTTTATGCCTGTTCAGATTAGTTGCTGTGTTCACACTTCAGCTGTGTGTTCTTGTTGCACTATGTGTAACAGAAGTGTACAGATGTGCAGCCATCTCTCCTTGATGCTGTCTCCTGTCACTCCCTCACAGCTGTTTGTCCCACATGCCCCATCTGAGGACAGCGGGGAGCCAGAGCCCCCTGCAGAGACTGCCGCTGCCTCGCCTGTCCTTGCAAAGTGTTCAACACAGATCAATAAAACTGAGAATGATGCTGCWCTGACTTCAGCTGACTTTGGCTTCCTGACATCTTTAAAGTTGCTGTGGCCTTATTGTCAGTGATTTCACAGAGTGGCGATATCCTCGTGACATCATCCAACTCTGTGCTCTACACCAACAAACTGTTTGTGTCAGATTGTATGAATATCTATAGCTCATCTATTGCATGATGGAATTTAAAATAAAATAGATTTATTTCTTTAGCGGCATGTCCTTTCCTTTTGTTGTATGATTTCAGGAAGTCTACTGGACCTTTTATCTAATGAGTCTGAACATCAGAGTTCTTCATGAGTCAGGATCCAATGCGTGAGGTGTGATTTTACTTTATCCAGCACCCATGCTAGAACACACTTTAAAATCCATCCTTGGCATTAGGTGTGGGTGTTGATGAGTAGTTTCTCTGCTGGCCGAAAGCTTCAGGAGCCTGCTGCTTCTCAGACTGTAAGAGAAAAATGAAAGAGCTTGAGACGACGACTCAGAACATCAGAGATACATGGAGCTGTGTTTGTGTTTCTAGGCTGAGCAAACATCCTGCATTCATGAACAATAGGACAAAGGTTGAGATGGTTGTATTATGTCTTCAAATTAACCAGTTTTAACAAAATGTTTGAAAATCATATGAAACAGCAAGACAAATTCTTGGAYTGTTTTGATTACATTTTTCTTTATGCTGTACTTATTTTATGTCACTGTACATTGTTTTTCTTTCCATTTGCTTTTGTGAAGTTTAGGGTAAAAACTTGTGAGTGATCATAAATGCGGGTGGAAACATCAGCTTGTTTTTTTTTTTGTGTGTGTTTCACTAATGTTTGATAAATTTTCCAGTGACTGCTAGGAATTATTTATAGAGCAGTGGGATCAGTAACTAAATACAAAACAGCACAGTTATTCTTAAAAAATTAAGAGTCCAGACGTTTGACTTGTGTTGTAAAATATGACAGACATGTTCTCTTTTTCATCTTATTATTTTAAACATATAGGAGTAAATATTTATAAACCTCATTTATTTAAACATACTTATTATTCCTATTTACTATATTAGACTTGTCGTAATCTGCAGTAGGTCTGAATGATAAATGTTGGACGTTAAATTGTCTCAGAAATTATTGTGAAAAATTATTTCATTTGGAGACCATTCTAAAGTAATATGATGATATCCCCCCACCCCCAAAAATATTTATACAAACAACCAGAAACTTATTTTGAAGAGACTGAAAGGTTTACTGAGAAAAGTGGATAAAATGAACTCRAATCAAACTTGTGGTTTGATGTTGTACATTTTAATGTTTTTCTGTTGTTTGATAAAAACCTGTAGAATCTTCAGGGTTGAGAGGAGCTGCTTGTTCTCAGTGAGACGTCATGTCTGTTTGTTTTTAGACGTGTCTCCTCTCTAACGGCCTTCGTTCTGTTTGTGTTTTGTTTTTTCAGGTTCAACTACAGGTCGACTCACCATCTCACCACCAATGGCTTCTATGAGTTCCTCAACTGGTTTGATGAAAGAGCATGGTACCCTCTGGGGAGGATAGTAGGAGGCACAGTAAGTGTTTCATTTGTTTGTGTCCTGGCTGAGCTAGGGGTGCTTGACTTTAGGATTTTAGAGATGTTTGTGTGTACTTGGTCCTCTGCGTACAGCTTTTTTGTCATCATTTCCCAACAGTCACCAATGACACCATCATCACTTTCAATTAACCAGCCTTAGACATAGATGGGCTTAAGCATGAGTAGATACAGTATATACTGTAGATAACTTTCAGGGGAAGTAAAGCTTGTTCCATTCTCCATCTAAAATCCAGTTTCATCGGGACGAGCACCACTAAACACACATGCAGGAACTAGCAGCACACGGGGCAAACAAGGAATTGGAGCAGCCTTCTCAATAACTCGTCGCTTACATTGGCTGACAAAAAAAAACTAAACAATCTCCCATTTTCACTAGGGCTGAACGATTTTGGAAAATTATCTAATTGCGATTTTTTTATCTATAAATTGTGATTGCAATTTAATATGCAATTATTTTTTTATGTCTTAAGTATTTTCAAACAAACAGAAGCAATAAATCAATCTGTTTTATAATAAACAATGTAAGATTTATTTAAAGCACAGATTACAATAAAGCAAACAATCTTTGGCTTTACCTTTTTACCATTTCTAATTTTTCTTGTTTCATGAAACATATTGAACATGTTAAGTGAACTTCCTAAATGCTGTCTGAACTTCTTAGGACAATCTATAAAAAAAATAGAAAAAATATATAAATATAAAAAATAAAGCTTACTGCCAGCCAGTAGTATCATGAAAAAATAAAGTGCAAACAACAGAGAATAAACATCTGCTTTAACCAACTTATTTTCTAGGAAAATCAAACTCAAGTCACTAAATTACATCATCACCTAATATGTTTGCCAATAATTGTGATCTGAGCTATAGGAGAGACGTTAAAGAGGGAAAAATGTGAAGTAAAACACTAAATATGTTTAGAACTGCAATTAAACTTAATGAAATAAAAATAATTTTATGACTTCAATGTTTAGATCCACATTACATAAATTGAATTAATGACAATCTTAAATTTAATCTGCAGACTGTTAAACATCACGAGACACAGGGAGGACGAGGTGAAGCAGTGACTGATCTAAAAAGCCGCTAGATCTAGCGACTGTGAATGCCGCTAATTGGTAACGTTGCTCTGCTCGGCTCGCTYCCAWGTCACGTGACCAGTTAAATCGCAGCCTGTGCGATTAGAAAATCTTGTTTGAACATATTGCGAGATTATCGCAAATGCAATTAATCGTTCAGCCCTAATTTTCACCATGGCTGAATGTAGAATACACCTTATTGGTGACGTGTAAAGATTACCTTCATGCGTGAAGTAAATTGACCTGATAATGATCTTTGTTCAACTCTCTTCCTTCATGACTGTATCTGCCAGTAAATGGTTACTGTGCTGCAGAAGGAGAGTAAAGGCTGCCACATATTCGGGCGTATTGTGTACAGACGTTTGAGACTTCATGCTCAAGTGTACTGGTCACCTGATAAATTCCTTAATTTCTCTCAATTTCATTCATGGCATCAAGGATGAGGAGAAGGATATAACTTGTATTTTAGGTTTAAAACAACAAAATAAAATAACTTAGTTTACCCAGGGTCTGAGCTTGTTCCTCCCACAAATTTGTTGCTCACTGAAAGTCCTATTTTCCTTTATTGATGTATAATAAAGTTTGTTTTGTAATCTCCTCTGTTAGACACTCTTCAAAATTTGACTCCATTTCATYGGCAAATGATTCGGATTCTCATCTTTATCTGCTTGGTGTTACATCCAAAACAGTTTGATGTGAACCTGCTAGGGTTGGGCAAAATCGTATTGTGTGCAATTAATGGTTATAAAAAATTTGATAGATTTATTTATTTTTGGCACTTGACGATTAATACGATTAAAGCCACCAGGCAGACTGGAGTTTTCCCCGGTCAGTCCACTTGGTGCTCCTCTCCGCTTCAAACATGACGAAAATTAAAAAAAACTTCTGCATTTTATTTATCRTAACTCTGGTTTTACTTGGTCAATCAACACAATTTCAAATTTGATGTTTAGCCTGAAGTCTGAACCTTTGACACAATTTGGAACAGATTTTTAGAAAGGGCAAACATTTCCCACTAGAGTGATTTAAACTGGTCATGCAACTAGGATATGAGAGCCTCCAGGGACTACAGAGGATTAATCGTCTGATTGATCGTTATTGGCTAAATACCACAATTAATCATGATTAATTTTTTTGGCAATATTACCCAACCCTAGAACCCGCCGGTGAGTTTATTGTGTAACACCGTGGACGCGGACGCAAAAAACTGATCTCTGCGCGGACCTGTGTGGCGGATGTCCACCTTGAGTCTGCGCAGACCTACATGGATTGAAGCACGGCCGAATTTAACTGACTGCAGTTTGCTGATCAATAAGCAGCGTTTGTACATTTTGACATCAGCTGAGCTGTAATGGAAAGAAAAATACCGTTCATTAATACAGATGAAATACCTCGGTATAAATGTTGTTCATACGGCCCAGCACTAGTTCAGATGGAGGATGAATTGATGTTGAATGTAACTCTCCTCATATCTTACAGAAGAACAAACTATAATGAATAAATTATGTATCTTACCACCATCAGTGTGTGAATGACTGTAGTGTAAAGCAGTGTTTCCCAAAGTTGGGGTCGGGACCCAAAGTGGGGTCCTGAAACATCAAGGTGGGGTCCTGAAAATATTTTCTGAAGTAATTACGTTTTTGCCTTAGTTGTTACAAAGGAGTGAGGTTAGTGTATTTWAAATGGATAAATGTAGTATAAAAATATTGTCCCTATGCCCATGTTTTGTTGACCTGATACAGATGTTTATCATCCAAAACTAGCTGGGGGCACAKGTCTCTGCTACTGTTACTTTGTGGGTCAAAAGCTGCACTTTGGTTCCCAAAGTTGGGCTTGGGACCCAATTATGGGTCATGAAGCACTTTGGATAATCTCCAGAAATCAATATAAAGGATAATAAAATAATTGCTGATGTAATATTTTTCCCTATAATTATTACAAAAACACAAACTAAGTAAAAATAAGTATTTATATTTGTATATAAGCTGTTTAGATCGTCAAAAAGCCTGTGTTTTTAGGGTTATTAACGAAATTTGCGTACTCAGACCAGTAATATTTGGGGTCACAAGTTTTTGCCATGAATATTTTTGGGTCAGAAGACAAAAAGTTTGGGAACCACTGGTGTAAAGAGCTTTGGGGTCCGGTGGGGCTTGATAAAGCGCTGTATAAGTTCAATCCATTTACCATAATACTGGTTACAGAGATCACACAAATTCACTGTTCTTAAAAATGATAAATATTAAAATTCACTGATGCAGTTCACTTTCATTCTACACAGTTTATGTACAAAGTAATACCCAATTTGCTTCCTGTCAAAATGCGTTATTTTTAAAGTGATGGAGGTGTTAGTTTCTGGAGGAAGTTAAAACTTAAACATCCTTTTTTTATATATGTTTGTGTTGATAGGTCTTTTATTTAATTTATTTTTTATTAGTTTGTGTTTTGTTTATGCAAACATGTTCAAAACAAATCTTAAGTTAAACCCTCTGCTCACTGAGACCCTGAGAAACTTTAATTAGGTTAAATTACTTTATTCAACTACTGAAAACTGCTTCATAGTTGTTGGTGTGTTCATATGGTCACTACTTAAATGGAACCAGTTTTGGGGGATGAGTTTTTACACTGTAGGTTAATGTTGGCAGTTTTAGTTTCCTGTTCCCACCTTTCCAAACCTTTTCTTTCCTCCCAGGTGTACCCAGGCCTCATGGTGACCGCAGGCCTCATCCACTATGTGCTGAACCTGCTGCACATCACCGTCCACATCCGGGACGTGTGTGTTTTCCTGGCACCGGTGTTCAGCGGCCTGACCTCCATCTCCACCTTTTTGCTGACGAAAGAGCTGTGGAACCAGGGGGCTGGGCTGCTGGCGGCCTGCTTCATCGCCATCGTTCCAGGCTACATTTCCCGCTCTGTGGCCGGCTCCTTCGACAACGAAGGGATCGCCATCTTTGCTCTGCAGTTCACCTATTACCTCTGGGTACACCTACACACACACACACACACACACACACACACACACACACACACACACACACACACAC